ATACAGTATATACATATACATACATACAGTATATACATATACATACATATATATATCTATCTTGTGGCATAGCACAAGTACATTTTCTTGGCAACAAATTTGGGATACTGGCTCATCCGTGTTGCTGCACTGCACTAATTTATTGATTATTGTCCCAGGCTTATTCATGAGGACATAGGGGTGCACTGACAATAGGGCCAGTTGCTCCATGCTGCGCTTAAGCGCCAATTGCCTCCCTTCCCTCCCCATTTGGCCCACACCCACAATACCCAAAAGGCAAGTGAGCTAAAGCCCGACTACCTCGGACACACATCAGTTGACTGTTGTTTAAATGTGGTTAAGGCAGACCAATTTACAGCTTTGTCTTCACAATAGACAGCCCTCTGATCAACAGGATCAGACACATGACGCAGCTAAATATTTGCAGGAGCATCTGACTGTGCATACACAGATACCTGCAAAAAAAACTAGGACAATGACTATCAACTATTCTGATGATTTTTTTTTTATCGGTTAATCAAGTAATCAGATAAATCGTACATTTTTAAACCGCTGTATTAACAGCGGTGAAAGGCCTCCTAAATGAGCACAAAATCAAACAGACATTTTACACATCAGTATTTTAAATTTCAGCTGATTTCATAGGGAGGAAAATATAATAAATACACTGCCTTGAATGTTTGAAATGCAAGTCTGTGTGATAGCAGAGTAACTGAGTTTTCCGCAGTGCGGGAATGATTTGATAGCCGAGACATTGAAGATAGATGAACTTAGGACATAAAATAGTGGGTTTCCACCAGAAAGTGACCAGCAGGTTTTCAATTTACTAAAAATTCAATTGAGTTTACAAATTTGGAATTATTGATCCTACAATAATAAATAACATGCAGGATACATAACAATGATATCAAAGTAGGTGATTTTTTTTTTTTTTGAATATTTTTTTATTGAAAAGTATAGGCTGTATAAAACAAAATAAGTGGCGTCAATTGAGTGACGTAAATCACTTCTAATGTAAATATTGCACAAGCCTGTGCTCATACCATTTTCATCATGCAGAAAGGTGCCATCTCAAAAAGTCAATTCGCTACGTTCTGCTCTGTCTTTTGGTCAGTACCATTATCCCCAAACTATACATCAAAGCAGGTCGATCTAGTGCTTTTTTTTTTTTTTTTTAGATATTCCCTTTTAATAGTTCTGTTATTTTTCTGTCACACATCATCACTAGTATGCATTTAAGTTCAATCCCACCTGACTGCACACTCTAGCTCTCCACTATTAATTACCCTGGGTGACTGACCCTACTCACTTTAAAATCCACCTCTTATTTTCACGTGCACACTCTCTCGTTTGTACTAACCTTCTTTCTTTTTTCCCCCCTGAACTCACCTGCTATTATATTCACCTGCTAATACTCTCACCACTGATAACAGCCATCTGCCAATTTCATTGTCAACAGAGCCATCTTCCTGACCTAAGCTGTCTATATATATAAACTGCCATTGCAAAAAGGAAGGTGCTCGGCTCTGATCCCTGATGCATTCCTAAACTATTCTAGAAGTTCAACAGCTCAACTTTCAGATTCTTCTTTTTCCCCATTCGGCTTTGTCCCTTTTTTCTCTCCCTGTTCTCTGCATCTTCTACTCTGACTCCAACTATCTGCATG